CTTCAGAAGTGGCAGTTGGGGTTTTTTTGGTCTTTTTGTATCTCTTGTCCAGAATTTGCCCCAACTGCGCATGCATGCAGTTATTTTTAGTCCCATATAGTTTCTTTGTATTTTGTTGCTCAAGGAGAGGTGTGTCCAGGTGCAAGCATTGCAGCATTGCAGCAAAGGGTCCCAGGTGCCAGCCTATCTCAGGTGGACTTAATAAATGGACACCCAATATCTTTTTGACTGTGAAAGGGGATCCTGGACCCTCTTCCTCTACTTCACTTTTCTGTGGATGAACACTGCCCAGAGAATAGTCAGCTCCAGTGTCACAGATGACTCTACTTAGTTGGCTTCTTAGCCTACTTAAATGGCCTCCTTAGTTCAGCTAAGGCAAGCCATGCTCAACCAAGGGGCAAAATATCCTACTTTTTCAGTTTGAAGTGTTCAAAGACCATTAATTTGCCTTTTTGTTACTTCATCTACAATGAAGGAAATTTTCAAGGTTGAGCTAGTGATTTTCCAACATTGTAGGCACCAAACTTACTTGTAAATATTTAAGTTAAAAAAAGTCACTGTAGCTAATCATCTCATTTACAAGTCGGTTAAACATGTGGGCAGTAACATGTGTAGGCCAAAGTATGTTAGAACGGAAATGACACTTCCTAGTTCCCCAAGGATCTTTCACTTTGCTTGGTTGACTCTGCAACTCCAGAAAAGTGCAGCCAGACTCCAGTAAAAGAAAAATTTGCCTCTTCTTACCTTTGCTGCCTTTTGCATTTCACCACTCAATTTACAGAGAAGAAATCTATTACTCAGCAGGTAGTGCTTGCACAAATGAAAGATAAATTTTTCTTCTAGATAGGACAGATCAGTGAGACTCATAAAATATTAATGATGAAAGCTTTAGGAATTAGGTATATCCCTGACCATAGGTTTCTCTTGACAGTGAAGCACAGTCAGTTTAATCCCTTTTTTTTTTTTTCTGCAAGCGTCCCATCAAGAATGATATGAAGGGAAGAGAATACATGATTTAAGATTCAGATGAGCATAGACTTTTTTTGAGAAAGGTAATTCTTCTCTCTTTCATTTTCTCCCATGTTTTGTGTTCCTTGTCTGCTGTAAATTTCACTGAGTGATGTAGTGTGGTCGATTTGATTCTTGAAGCTGCTCATGTGTTCATGAAGGAAATTGCTTGAGAATAATACAGAAAGTACACATTTCATATTATTTAACATACAATATAATAATAGTTGACATTTATGTGATTAAAGCAATTCATTTATCCAAAAATTAGGGATGTAGTGAATGTGTATTCAAATATACATCATCAAAGAATGGCTCTGTATTCTTCAGAAAGTAATTGTTACAGATATTTTTCACTTGCTGAGATTTATTATCTTGAAAATCCTTCCATGATCTTTAAAAATGTATAATTACTTTTAGGTTTACTATTTCTTTGTAGAATGCTTAGTCAATTACCATTACCCTGAGATTCTTTTCAACATATATTTTCATTTTATACAGAAACAAAGTTTACATTTATAAAATTTAAGGATCATAGAAATTTATCATTCTCTTATTATGGCAACCTGAATAATTATATGTATTTATAACATATATTTATATAATATAAATTTAAGTATCTATAATGTTAAATATTTGAATATTTAAAGTTTAGATATTGGAAATTTGCTGAAAATAATAAAATAACTTTATTAACCAATTATTTTTTAAATTCTTTAATATTTTTTATGCTAACATTATTTGTAGCATAATTCACAATGTTTTTACTCATGCTAAAGAACAGAAAGGAAGACACCCAAAAATTAAACTAAATACATCTAAATCATATCTATTAGAATTTAAGACATACTGAAAATGCCATTTAACATGCTAAATATTAATAACTAGAAAAATAAAACATACTTTTTTTATATGCTTTATTTCTCTATCTAAATGGAATAAATTCTTATACTAATAAATTTGTTTTTATATTAAAGTGTTTATTAAAAGAAAGTATATGACTATACGATCAGAGAAATTTATTTTTGCTTAATTACCCTTTACTTAATTGAATATCTTGTTTCATGCATCTCTTCTCAGGTACACCCCTGATATTTTTCTTCAGTATATATGCACAATTATACAAAATCCAAATGCAATCCTTATAAGCCACTAATGGGTTCCTAAGATCCCGTGTTTACAGTGTATGTTGAAGTCTCCAGTTGATGATATACATACAAGGACAAATCAGCAGATTCCATTTTGTTAATCAGCCTTTTAGAAAATTCATCAACACACTGTAAAAAAATCAGATCTTTTGTTAAAACATATCTTGAAGTATGGTTAAAGTCACATCGCTAGTAAGTAAAAAGACTCAAGACTTAGGTCCATTACGAAACACCTCGTCTTGAAGGATATTATTATATTCTCAAACCCAACAGTTTTTCATTGTTGCCTGATCATCTGAACACCACCTCTAGTGTCTGGAATGCCTTTATCAATACAGTCTATTCATAAGTTTGAAAACAAACTCCATAGCCCAAACATCCTGCAGTAGCTAAGTACCAGCTTGCACAGAATTAAACTCATTGTTACTACAGCCTTCTGCATACCAAATTTTTTGGAATCTGTAGCTAGACTCTCTTAAGTCCTACCTCATTTCTGCCCCACTCTAATAATTGTAGGTGCCACCTTCTCTGTACTAAGGTATAACCAATTAGCTGTAATAATAATAGCTCCATACTGAGAAATGAATTTATTTGAAATGAAAATTGTAAAATGACTCTTACCATTTTAAAATATCAATCTCCCATTTCAACTGTTCTTGCTATATCTGAAAGCTACAAAAGATAGAAAAAAATAGAAGAAAATTACAGAAATCCTAGTGAGGGTATTTTTGACCCCAGAAGCTGACCACAACACACCTAAGTGGAGATGAAATCTGTGCCTCAAGAGCATATGAATTTTCACAGTTTACCATTGTGTAAAACAATAAATTTTTATATAGCATTAAACTTCAGAAAATAACATTATTTGTTCCTCAGAAGTACCTAAATAGTCCAGAGAAGCACTAAATGTTTAAAATATAAATAGTACTTTTAAGCCTAGCGGAGAAAAATAGTGCAAAATAACAATGCATTTATTCCTCAAACTATCTTTGCTTAAAGAATAAGCACATGACTTTAAAGACATTATTAGAGACTTCATGTATTCATTGTGTTATAGCTGCACAGTTTTCTTCTGAATACCTTTGTTAACAAAATCTGGCAGACATTCAATAGCAAACTGTGTTCCAAGCAATGAATTCATAATGTTGTAGCAGGAACAATCTCTTTAATGTTGTAAGACTTTATATATTATGGAAAAATCAATAACTTGGATAAACATGGAACAAACTAGCCCATGCACTTTTTCAGCGACATCCCATTTGATTGGAAACAGTTTTCCCCTGCCCATTTGGAGTTCACACATGATCACAGCCAAATAGGATTTTGCTTTTGTTCTTCACCTTAAGATCTCGTACATCTATATAATGGGTAAATACTAAATCATTCTTACTTGTAAAACCCTGAATCAAAGACACAGGATTTTAAAGAAATCCTCTCCTCTCAAAAAGAAAAATAAAAGAGCCAAAATGGTAAATATCAGTCATCCAGAAATCCCAGGAATTATGCCAGGACTCATTTTTCCTACTTTAGCTAGACTCATTATTAGTACATTAAAAAAATTTCGAGACAAAATAGTGAATGATTTCCATTGCATTAATGGCATCTTTCTCCCATCCCCGTTTCTGTTATGCCAGACCTTAGTTTGGGGATCCGTATGGTTTTGTGGAGACTGACTCCTCCTCTGGCTTCAGAGGTGGGATTTATATAACACAGCTAAGCCAGTGTTATGGGCTGAATTTTGCAAGTCCAGAGTACATCTCAGGATTTTTTGGGGGGGGAACATTGTTAAGTAAATATCCCCTCTTTCTACCTGAGAAGAAGGAGGAAGGATGTTGTCCTAAGTGCTGGTGGCATTTATCTTAATACCACAAGGGGAGCCTTAGGATGAAACCAACCTCATAAGGCAGAATGTTGAAAACATACCAGGTCTACCTGTAGATTTTTAAGTTGTGTGAGCCAGTTAATTATCTACACTTGAGCCATATGAAATTACTAATTTGATCATTTTTTATCATAAAAAAGACAAGCTCATGTTGATCAACCCAATGTACTGCTTAATCCAGAACTTCTGTTACAAGCTAATAAAACTCTCTAAACTGAAGAGATGAACACATAAAATTCTATGCCTTTGAGAATTTTTAGCTTCTTAAACTACTGCCAAAACATAAATTTATAAATTAAAAATTAAATTATAAATTTAATTAAGTTATAAATTAAAGTAAAAATATTAATTAGGGGCTCCCCTGGTGGTGCAGTGGTTGAGAGTCCACCTGCCGATGCAGGGGATACGGGTTCGTGCCCCAGTCTGGGAAGATCCCACATGCCGCGGAGTGGCTGGGCCCGTGAGCCATGGCCACTGAGCCTGTGCGTCCGGAGCCTGTGCTCCGCAACAGGAGAGGCCACAACAGTGAGAGGCCCGCGTACCGCAAAAAAAAATAATAATAATTATTATTCAAGGAGTATATTGATACCAGTAGAGTTTCTAATGAAAGATTTCAAAAGGAATTTTTTGGATATAGAGATACAAAGAAAGTTATAGTAATATGATAATGTTAAAATATATGTGTATATCTTTATATTATATAATATATACTTCAAACATTTAATTTGACTACTTTTAATGAATAATTTAACTTAATATAAAGAATTGTTCTGTGCAATATATATATTAAAGCATTATATTAAAGTGTTTATTCTATATTTTTCTCTCAATTTAGAAAACTAGTAAATATGAATATAATATGATTGCATGGGAATAACAAATTATCTAGAATAATTTTTTTAACTTCAATAAATAATAAACAAGAGGATTGTATTAGTAATATTGGGCTTTCTTTTTTCCAGTGTATCAACATTTTCTGCACAGGACAGATTGTGAACAACCTCTTTCTTAAGGTGAGATTGGGTGTCATTCACCATAGAAGTTTGAGAAGCTATAAATTTTTTAATATATTATCAAAGATATTCCATAAGTCAGATTGTCTTAGGGTAGCTGTGCATGCCTAAATTGAGGGTATTTGCTCATAAGTTTTATATGCATACATTCTATTTGTTCAACAGTACTACTTTTACTGTAAACTCTATAGGATGTTTATTGGAAATTTCTGAGTTTATCAAAGCATGTAACTTGATATTTTTATTAAAACTTGGAAATTTTATTGATGCTAAAAGAAAAAAACAAGACACAGAACAAAAATAAAATATACTATTAAAACGAATACAATTAACATATCTCTCAGAGCAAATGAGTACTCACACACACACACACACACACACACACACACAGAGGCATGTTAATATTTTTAACTTCCTCCTAAAATACAAGTATATTAGATTATTTTAATTACCATGAGCCATCAGATTTTTAATCAATGCTATAGGTATTTTTGCTCTATTATTCCAAGAATTAGATACTGTTATTACTGTATTATAAATTAATATTATATTAGATTTGCTCACATATTTACCACTATTTTTCACTGTTCCTTCTTATTAGAACTTCCACCTTATCTATTTATTTGAAGTATATTTTTTAGACTTTCCTTTAGTGAAGATTTCTCAGTTTTTCTTTGTCTGAAAGTATTTGTATTTTGCTCTTGTCCTTGGAAAATAGTTTCTCTGAACTGTGAGTCTACATTGTCAAAGATTTTTCTGACACCATTGAAGATTTTACTCTGTTATTTTCTGGATTCCATTTATTTATGGCAAGTCAACTGTCTGTCTAATTGTTATACCTGCATAGGTAATTTGCTATTTCTCTTTGGCTGCTTTTAAAATCTTCCTTTGTTCTTTGGTGTTCTGAAGCTGGTTATGACGTGTATAATTTTTATGTATCCCACTTTAGACTTGTTGGCCTTCCAGAATCTGAGGATAGATGTCTTTCAGCAATTCTGGAACTCCTTGGTCATTACCTCATTTAGTGTGACTTTTTCCATTTTTCTCTACTTTTATGTCTCTTAATTTTTTTCCAAATCATTTCATATTTTCTTAGTATCATATTCTTTGAGTCTATACCCCTTTCACTGATTTGATCTGTATTTGTGATTTATTTTAAATTAATCTCTTTTTATTCTTTTAATTTTATAATTTTTGATACAAAATTCCACTTGAGTGTTTTATAAATTTAATAGTCTCTTTTTCATGTTCTTATTTTCAGTTGAGCCTCTATTTTAATTTTCATGGTTCTAATTGCACTTCCAGCTCCTTCTTGTTCTCACATGTGAAATCTTATTTTCCTTGTGTGCTCTGATTTTGACTATAATCTCACACATATGGAATGTTATTGATGAAAATTCTTTAAGGCCAGACTTGGAGTTCCATTTTTAAAGTACTTCCTTCTACTAGTCACTCAAGGGCACTATTAATCCAGGACAATTTTTAAACTAAATGCTTTGCTTTTAAACTAAGTGCTTTCAAATAGCATGGATGTAGATTTCAGGTCTGTGATGAGGACCAACTTGTTAATGTGAATCCTTTTTTTTTTTCTCTCTCTAACCAGCACTAAGGACAAGACTGTATATTGCCTTTCAGACCCTTTTTCCCCATGAGATTTCTTTCTCATTTTATGGAAGAAGTCTTCTACCATCCTCTTCCCTTTATCCTCATGAAGCAGCCAAAAGGGAAGCTCACGCTTTCCGAGGATCTCTAGAAGTTCTCATTGTTGTACGCTGGCTTTGGTGATACCTCTTAGGATTCCTGCTTTTACTTTGATCTTAGTCTTTGCAGATTTCGTTCATGTCAGATGCAATATTCCTTAAAAGTGTGCACATATATTTGTATACATAATTTTATTCAGTTGCTTTCATCAGGAATTTACGCTGGCTATGTAGATCCAGTATACTGGCTTGAAGCAGATAATAAAGTGTTTAGAGTCTACTAAAAATGCTAATACTTAATTCTTTATATTTCACAGATGGTGTATGCAGTGAGATTTTTCTCTTTTGACTCAACTCAATAGTTAACCTCTGCTAAAACTTCAATTCAAACTAATTTTCTACCTCTACAAGTCTCCAACCTTTTCCTTCATAATTCTGATATGGTTCTGTTACTTCTTTCTTGCTTCCTTGAAGCAAGGACTTTATCACATTAATATTGCTAAACTACAATATTAAGCCCTGTCAAGAGTGAAAAGGAGTATAGTCTTTGTTTGATTCTGCTTTTGAAGAAAACAAAAACACATAATTTTGGTTCCTCTTCTAATCTTTTAGACTCCCAAATCACGTGGTATTAATTTTATTGCTTTTGAGATTCTTGTAATTACCATTAGTGCTTACTATTTAACTAAGAGGGCAATTCATAAAATGCCCATGCAGACTCTCTAATGAAGTTACCCATATGGTAGTTAGAAAAGGTGGCTAAAATTGGAGAGGACATGTACACAAGTTTTTTCTTCTCTTTACTCACGTAAAAGATGTGTATATAAAGCAGCTGTTGTCATTTTCCAGCGTAAACATTTGAAAAATTTCTGTTTACTCCCTTTGGAGTCTGGCACTTTCACACTGGTTTAAATCAGCCAGATTTATTTGTAGAAAATAGTATTAAAATGTCCATGTGCTATGTTTTTTAATATAAAATCCATTATTAGTTTTTACTTTAAAATACAACGCATGCTATTTTTCTGGAGTTTTCAAGATAATGTGAAAATATTAGTACAAAATCATTCAGTTTATAACAAGCTGTTTTTTGAGGGAGGGAGGAAGTTTTCAAACATAAATTTCAATCAATCAGTACCGAGTTCATTTTCATAAGCTGTTTTACTTTTTCAATTTTATTTTTAAACAGTGTCTAGTAGCAATTAAAATTCACAGTAATTTGTTTTGTCCCAAATATTTGTAGTGTATGTAGTTCATTTTTCCTTTCAATTCATTGAGGGGTAGGGCTGTTTAATTACATTTTCTACTTCCTGCATTTTCACTACTCAACTACCTACAGCTAAATCAAAGAGCTAATAACAAAATACTAAGCAAAAGAAGCTATTTTATTCAAATACAGTTGAATTATCCAGCTTCATATGAGATATTGTAGTGAGCTGTTTTGCATTGCAGTATGCAGTATTAGCCCGCAGAAAATTTTAACTTTTTATAACCCTTTCATCACAGCAGATGTGTGATCCTATATTACCTATCTGTCATTTTTTATAAATATGGACTTCTCAGGAATTGAGTAGTCATCTCTCACTTTTTATTTCATTTCTTTACATAATGTTAGAGCAGTGAAGCATATCCAGTTCAAAATCCTTAGTTTTGATCTTCATAGAATAAAATTTATGAGCAACTTAACCTCCCCAAGTGCATCATTATTACAACTCCACCGGGATTCTTTAACCTTCAACCCCAAGCTAAATTTGGCAAATCCTTGAATGGGTGCTCTCTTAGTTAAAATTCTCAGCTTCTGTATTTCTGTGTCCCATGGAAATTATTGCTTTGCATAAAATCAGCAAGCAAATATTTGCTTACAAATTAGATAGACTGATATTGATCTATATGTGTTTTAGAAAGGGAATAAGTCCCATTTTTAACATATAAAATGATAAGACTGAAAATGACTCACTATTACTCTAGAAATGAAAGAACATATATCCACAGTCTATGGATCGTAAGGCTTTAGAATTTCATGAGTGCTAGGGGAATTATGTCTTGAGGGACAAAGCATAGTGATTTTTACTTGAGGAACAAACTGCTATTCTCATAATGTAGAAATGCTAAATAAATAAGAAATGTGTCGCGGTTCTCAGATTTTTTGTTCTCAGGATCCTGTCTTAAAAATTATTGAGGACTCCAAAGAGGTTTGTTTACATGCATTTTACATTGATATTTACTGTATTAGAAACTAAAGTATAAAATTTAAGATATTTATCATTTCCTTTAACATTAACAATACACCTATTACTTATAAATAATGTATTTTTATGAAAAATAGGTGCATTTTCTAAGCAAAGCAAAATTTAGTGAGAAGGGTAACATTGGTTTTCATTTTTGCTAATCTCTTTAATATGTGGCTCAGTAGGAGACTGTTGGGTTCTCATTTCTGCTACTGTATTCATTGTTTTGATATAAAACATTATGAAGACTTTGGAAAACTCCACTGTAGACTCTTGACAGAATGAGAATTAAAAGACAAATAAAGTCTTAATATAATTATCAAGGTAGTTTTGACCTTGCAGCTCCACAGAAAAAGGTGGTGAAGATCCCAGGTAACCCTAGATGACACTTTGAAAATTATTGACTTAGTGGCTTCAAACAGCAATGTACTTTCTCTCTGAGTCTACAGGTCATCTGGACAATTCTGCCAGTCTGGGCTGGACTTGACTGAGCTCCCTTGGCTTACTCAGGTGTTTGCACTCAGCTACTGGGTTGTCTGGAAGCTGGCTGCTCTAGTATGGCCTTGGCTGAGATGATGGCCTTTGTACCTCTAGCAAGCTAGCCTGGCCTATTCCCATGGCAATGAGTGTTCCAGGAGGGAGAGTTGAACCATGAAAGGCCTCTTGAGTTCTAGGCTTAGAATTGCATTAATTCTACAGCATTCTTTTGGTCGAATGTATAGAAAAGTCAACCTACATTCATGTGTGGAAAACAGGCTCCACCTCTCGATGAGAGAAGTTATAGTCATATTGAAAAGGGGGTACATACAAGGAAGAATTTGGAGCATTTTGTCAATTAACCATAGCATCCTAGATCCGCCCCCCCCCCCCAAAAAAAAAGGTAAAGGTAATTCTTTGCCTCATTTTCAATAGATTTGACTCTGTTGTATGTGCTGTAGGAATCTGTTAGGACATATTTAGAAGTAATAGTGCTATCATTTAAAATTCATTAGTTTGGGCCCTACACTGTAAATGCTTACCTGTAACCAGGGCTTCAGATATAACCAGGTCCTGACACAAGGACTCACAC